TCCACTTGCCACAACCCACTCCACTTGCCACAACCCACTCAACTTGCCCCAACCCACTTCACTTGCCACAACCCATTCCACTTGCCACAACCCACTCTACTTGCCCCAACCCACTCCACTTGCCCCAACACACTCCGCTTGCCCCAACACACTCCACTTGCCCCAACCCATTCCACTTGCCCCAACCCATTCCACTTGCCACAACCCACTTGCCACAACCCACTTGCCACAACCCACTCCACTTGCCCCAACACACTCCACTTGCCCCAACACACTCCACTTGCCCCAACACACTCCACTTGCCCCAACCCATTCCACTTGCCCCAACCCACTCCACTTGCCCCAACACACTCCACTTGCCCCAACACACTCCACTTGCCCCAACACACTCCACTTGCCCCAACACACTCCACTTGCCCCAACACACTCCACTTGCCCCAACACACTCTACTTGCCACAATTGTTAGAACTTAGAGCTGAGATTCCCTCTGACACATGGCGATGCCCCGCGCCATTCCACTTGATACAGTCACTAGCAACACCATCTGCCTTCCTCTTGGCAAATGTTTGAACTCCACTGGAGATCGACTTTGTGTGTAGATACATGATCTCTGACTGGTCAAGCACTAATCTGGCATAAGGAAATATCCCAGAAGTCAAGCGGCCGAGCTGAGGCTGACCATAGAATCAGTGGAGTGCCGACTGTTCTCTCTAACATGCACAGGGAGACTAAGCCTGCCTGGCTTGGCTGTAGGGCTATGTTGTTGGCTTGATAAACCCGCAAGTAGGTTCCTCTGATTTTCAGAGAGTTTTGCCTGCAACCTTCATTGTGGAGACGACACCTGGCTCACTAAAGACTTGACATTCTTCTCTTTATTCTCCTTCTACTGGCCTTCCCTGAGGTACCCTAGCAACCAGTAAAGGAAGATATGGTCTTGGTAAGTCAAATGAAGGACCGGTTCCCACGCATTCAGGCCTCTTCGCCCTAGACGGCTATAGATTGATTTTGTTAGATCAATCGACACTGTTTAGGTGGTGTGACCGACATCACGCCGGCTGACTTGACACCAAGGACTATACAGGGTGCCCACCCAAGGCTGGGTCGACCTGGCAATGGGGGTCGCCGTCGGAACCTGAACCTTCCGATCCGCAGGCCAGCTTCTAGCTACAATATCAAGTTGGCTCTCAGTGAGTCTGTGTGCTCTTTGTAGTAGTTGTACCTTTTATACGTTGATCTTTTTGACTGGATGTTGTTCATCTGTCGGGCCATCTTTGTTGCCAGGTTTTGGCATTGTGCTGTGTCTTGTTAGATTTCTTTAATAAAGTGAATGATACAGCCCTGTTGTTATTGTCCTGATGTTGTTATTGTTATGATTGTGTTTTTTCCCCCTGGGTTTTACATGTGTTGTTGTTGTTCTAATGTTGTTATTGTTCTGGTCCTGTTATTGTTCTTGGGCTATTTTTGCCGTTGTGTTGTTGTTTTCCTGATGTTTTTTTTTTTGTTTTGTCTGGCGTTGTTGTTGTTCTAGGTTTTACATGTGTTGTTATTGCTCTATTTCTGTTATTTTTCTGTTGTTGTTATTGCTCTAATTCTGTTATTGTTCTGTTGTTGTTATTGTCCAGGTGTATTTTTTGTTTGTTTGGGTCTTATGTCGTTATTCTCTGGTGTTGTTATTGTCCTAATGTTGTTTTTGTCTATTGTTGTTGTTTTTCTGGGTTTTGCAAGTGTTGTTATTGTTCTGGTGATGTTATTGTCGTTGTCCTGTTTTTGTCGTTGTCCTGTTTTTGTCGTTGTGCTGTTTTTGTCGTTGTCCTGTTTTTGTCATTGTGTTGTTTTTGTCGTTGTGTTGTTGTTCTCCTGGTGTTGATTTTCTCCAGGGTTGTTTTTGTTCCAATGTTGAAATTGTTACGGTTTTGTTATTGTCGTGGTGTTGTAATTACTAGCTGTTCTGGAGCAAGCATTATTGACCTAGAGTAACCGGCCATTACTGGACAAGGCCGGAGACCAACAGGTTTCTGTAGATGAGAGAGCTCACGCCGTCTTAGACCCCTACTGAGAAACTTCAGACAAATCTGGCCAACAGCAAGGGCACACTTCTAATGTGCTTCTATTGGAGGTAAGGGGACAAAACGAGGGATAGAAACTGACGGAGTGAGGATTGAACCAATAAATACATAGATAAGTCGGGAGGGGGGGGGATGGGGAGGCGTAGAGGAAGAAAATGTAAAGTTGAAGGAGCGGTTGAAGACATGGGAGAGAAAGTGAGGGAGACGGAGAAATTTTGAGAGAAATGAAGGGAGAACAGGAGGCAGATATAACTTGAGTAATGATGGGGAACGAGGAAGACAGAAATGGAGACATAGAACCAGAAGTGGAGACAAAAATGGAAGAAGACAATCTATAGAGAAGAGGAGATTCTAGTTGACGGTGTGTTAGTGGTGGTGGTGGTGCTGGTGGCGGTGGCGGTGGTGGCGGTGATGGCAAAGATCCATCATTATA